TAATTGAATTGACCAAAAAAAATTAGGGTAAGCATGATTTAATATACTTGAGAACTATTTGGAATCTTTATAGGAAATTTTAAGAAAAAAAAATTGAGGGTTGACATTTCTTGTCACTGATTTCCCGTGTTTGAAATTAAGCGTGGAGAATATATATTATTTTTACGAATACGACATTCGAGTACAAAGCTAACGTGGATCAAAGTTAAAAAGTTCAATATAATTAAACTAGTATCATCTCTATCCCATTAATAAAATATTACTAAACACGCTTTTACTGTTTTTTTAAATTGTTTTTTTATTTAAAATTTTACTTCAGAAAAGTCATCAAAATATATCTATTTTTTTTTTGTCGTTTTTTATATGAGGAAAGATTTGTTACCTCTGTTATGGTGCAAATGACGGTGATTGTTATGAGAATAGAATGACTAATCAAGTAAATTAAGTACACCCCTACTAGACGAACAAACTGCCTTTGAGTGGTTGGAGGGACTCCGTTATTCAAGTTAATACAGGTTCTTAAGTTAAGCAAGTAATTAGCAAAGAAATAAATGCATTAACCTCTGATTTAAGCTCATTATGTAGTTATAACAGTGTATATCAACTAGAATCCTAGATGCAATAGAATGACACATCTATTTTATAGCTAGTTTTTTTTCAAATTCGGGATTAAACCTCTATAGGTTTTCCACCTCATTAACTGAATTTTTAGGTCACATGTCTATGACGTCAAACTCTAAAATAGACATTGCATATTAGTTGCCTATGGCCACCTTTAGGCATTAGCTCTATCCTAGCTATCCTTTGCCTTGATAGACATACTTTTTATCCCTTGAATTACAGAACTAGAATCCTGTACGAACTGCTCGAGAGTTTTGCAAACCAAATTATTTGGTGAGGATGAATCCAATTTTTATGGGCTAATATTGACGTATGTTCAATTGGACCACTTTGGCTTGGCTAGAGGCACTTCACGTTCACCATCTTGTCCATTCTCACTTTTATCACGTGTCTTATGTCACGTGTCACTATTAAATTGTCTATTCATGCAGGGGTATATATGACATAAAATGTAAACCTCTACATATTTACCAGCTTTCTGCAGTAACTTTTTAGACCCAAAAAATCTTATTTAGGTAGGTTCAAAAAGTTGGTTTTATGTATTTTTTTGACCTTTTGAAGTTTTTTTGTGGGTCCCACCTAATTTTTAGTTTATTATATTCATAAAATATTATTAGTGACATAAAAAAAAATTTAAATTCATATTTTGAGAACTATTATACATAATCTATATATAAATGCAATTATTTTTTTATTTTGACACAAAAACTAAAAAATCACTTCAAACATATTTTTTTTTAATTTTTTCAAGGTTTTAAAGAACACCGCAAATGGTTTTGAATAACTTTAACTTTTTTTGTGGAACTTTTTACACTGCAAGTTTTCACCTAAAAAATTAACTCCAAATAGGCCCAATGTCTATTATGATACTTGAATTGGAAACATTGAGATAGTCATAATACATTATATTTTTAATGGAATAACAATAATTTCTATACTTTAAATATATATTTTTTCGATAAGTACTTTTAATATTTTTCTCACACATATGTTATATATAGTGTAAGATACTCAGGCCTGTTTGGTAACTAGGTGTTTTTTTTAATTTATTTTTGCTTTTATTTTCATTTTTGTAGAAAAAAATAAAAATGCGTTTGGTGAATATTTTTTTTATTGCTTCATTTTGAAAATAAAGACAAAATATGGAAACATCGAAAATGAAAACATGTGGAAGGCATTAGAAGATCTTTAATAAGGTCCAACCTTTAAGTCTTGTTAGCAGCAAATAAATGATTTTTATTACTTGAGTATAAAAGCTCTTTCCTTTTCTTTTCCCTTTTCCTTTCTTTGTGCCTCTTTCTCTCTCGCCCCGCTCCGCCCTCTCGCATCTTTCTCTCTCTTGTTGGTGTGTTCTTCAGTATGAAGAGGGTTTTGGATGGTTGTCGATGATGGGTTTCAGTGGATTTTGGGTGGTTGTTAGCGGTGGGTTTTGGTGGAGTTGGGAGGTTGGTTTTCGGGGGTGTTGGGGAGTGGGTTTCAGGGGATTTGGGGGGGCATTTAGGGGGTGGGTTTCAGGGTGTTTGGGCTTTGTGGGTGGTGGGTTTTGGGGGGTGGATTTTCGGGGGTGTTGGGTGGTGTTGAGTGGTGGATTGTAGGATGTGTAAAATCCGGGTAAATTTGAATTTTTATGAAAAATGGTAAATTGTCACTATGGTACAGGTTGAAAACTCAAATTTTTTAGAACTCAGATAACGAAACGGATATCACTGTTAGATTTGTCTCACGAAATCTAATTACCCAGTTAATTTTCGTTAAATTCTGAGACAACCAAATTTTTTGCGTTTTACGAGATGATCGGGTGTCGCGCATGACTTAAATAAACGAGATCGGGAATTAAATTTGAAAATTTGAGAAATAATGTAAAGGTAGTTCAAATAAAAATATTTTGAACTTGAACTAGAATGAAATTAAATTAATTTGAGATAAAATCGGACCTGAAAAAGGTGAACGTGTGGCGCAACAAGGGTTGTGTTTGTAGAGTATAAAAGGGGAAGAAAAAATAGATTTCTTTCCCAAATCTCAGCTGGTTTCGTTGAAAAGGGAAGAGAGAAAATATCTTCAACTTCTCTATATGATTTACAACTCTACGTTCGTCGAATTGAGTTGTGTCAATAAGCAAAGTCGATCTATGCGATGAGGGTTAGGACTACGTACCAAAAATTACAGATTTCACCAAAGTTTCAAAGACAGAATTTTTGAAAATCAATGGTTAAAGCTTGATTTGGGCATTTTGGAGCTTTCTACGACTTGTTTTACACTTCAAGGGGTAAATTTTTTTTTTAATTAGGTTTATTTTCAACCTAGAGTTGATATATGAGATGGGTAGTGTTAGAGATGTAATCTCATGTATAGCACTTATCTATGGTATTTGAAATATAGGAAATGAGTATTAAGAATGGTTAAAAGCAATTTTAACATGAATTAGGTATGTAGAAATTGCTTGTTGTGATTTATTGAGAAATGTGATGAATTGAGGACATATTATGTGATACATGATTTTCTTACCTTGAAGGTGTTTGACTAAATGCCTATGTGAATTAAGTGTGTTATTTACATTGATTATATTATAACATATTTGAAATTTAATGTTAAAAAATGTTGATATATGCATATGATGTATTGACATTGAAATTGTTAATGATGGTTATATGCTTATGATATAATTTACCATGAAGTATGTTGATTGCATATTGAAATGTTCATATTGTGTTCATTACATATTGAATATGGTTGAGAATTGTAATTGTACATTTATATTTGTATATGCATGAAAAACATTGTACTCGTGGGCATTTAACATGAGTGTGGGTGTGTATTTGCATGTTTTTAAATCAAACACCATTCTTCGATAAATGATACAATAGAAAAATGGTACAGTGCATTGAAACCCATCTACATGGCTTTATATAATACCACCTGGGAGGTGGTATTATTTTCTGGATTTTGGCCACAAACGGTATAAGGTGAGTAATTTACTACTTTACCCTTTAAACTTAGCCTTAGTGCTGAAACAACGTCTCCATGCCTGGCTTCACTGAAGAAGACAAAGATGAAGACGTCTCCATTGCCAGCTCCAGTTTCACCTCCAGGTAACATCTCTCACCTTAGGCTCTCCTCATTTCTCACCCAAATCACAAACACATCTTAAACCCTCATACCTAGATCCCCTTCCCCCCCCCCCCCCCTTTCTTCAAAAGCAAACACAGATCCACAACCCCCATGAAATAATTTTTTCAAACTTATTTTCCTTTCAATTTTGTTACAATAGCTTGGTAGAATGACGCCAGTCATAAACAATAGCTCTAGAAACCCATATCCCCCATCAACAATCAGTGCATGTTTTACAAATTACATATGTACTGGTTTGGGTTTTGCATATGAGAGCTTTTACAAAACTTCTATTTTTGTATGTTACTGTGGTGGAAAATTGATGTTGCACAATGGTATTTATAATTTTTTTTAATGTATGTTTACAATTCTAGTGTTGGTTTTTTATGTTTGGGATTGATTTTTTTTATTTAAATTTTGGTTCATTTATCTGAAACATAGGGGTGTTGTCTTCTGGACATGTAATTTTTTTGAACACCAGTTTTTTGTTTTCCCAATTTTGCAGAGTTTCAACACCTACACTGTTTTCTCAACACTGATGGGTAATTTGCAATGGTTGTGTAGTTTATTTTTTAATATGCTATGCCTAGCCAATTTTGGGGATGTTCCAATGGGAACAACCAATGGTTATTTTATGAACTTTTTAACTTCTTTTTTTTTTTTTTCTCATTGGTAAAATGTGTGTAAATGACTCTTGAATTTTCATGTGGAATTTTTTACATGATTTGACTATTTTTGGGTATGGATTGTCATATCATGTATTATACCAAATATTGTGTAAAAACATTACATAAACGAAGTAATGGAATGGATGATGTTGAGGGTAAAATGGTATATTTGTTATACAAGATGTGATAGAATAGATGATTGTTTGTGGGACCCACCATAGTATCTATTGAACAAACAAACATAGGAGAGGACTGAAATACTTTCTATTACGGGTACTAATTTCCATTGGTATTAGAAATGTATTACATTTCCAATACATGCCCCTTGTGTTCAAAGGAGGTTTAAGGAAAATTATAAGTGTAAATTGATGTATGTCGGACAATGGATTGATAAATGGTGAAATGTATACAGGTTATCCATGTGGGTTATGATCCCGGTGAAGAGGATGTTATTGACGTAATGTCGGTTTGTGCGGCATTCACGGGTATTTCTGCGGGTTGATGGGTGATCAACGAGTTGACAAAGGACCCCCAGTTTTTAGAGGCGTCACATTCTTTCTGAACATCATAATTATATTGTAATACATAATTGATAGGTTGATATTTTTTTTCATGGGATTTATAATATGTCCAATTGCATTTGTCTCTCCTGTTGTGAGTGGTTGCGCTGGAGATACTATTGTCCTAAGTTGTGATACTATTGTCTTTTATCTTTGAATAATCTGGAGGTATTTTTGTCTTATAAACCTTGTTAATCTAAGGATGTTTTTCTTCGGCTTCATTTTTTGTTGACTAAATGAGTGATTTTTTTCCCTAAAAAACCAGAATAATGATTCTTGAGCTCTGCATATTGGCTTTCTATGCTACTTATGGATTCTGGGAAAGAAGCCTTGAATATCTACGTAGGAGTAAAGAAATATATGGAAAGGTATTTTACTGAACACGTCACTTATGACAATGTTATTTTGTGTGAATTTGGCATATTCAATTTGATGACAGCTTCTGTCGGACATTTACTATTATGGTGAACTTGCAATTTTCTTTGCCTTTGTTCTTTTGGTCCAGTTTAATGAAGCTACATTTAGAATTTTGCTTATGGGACGTATGAATGTTTGGCAGATGCTCTATGAATAAAAGCTGATGATTTAAATGCTTAGTTAAAAGTACTTGAAAGAAGGGATCAAAATTTGGCTTCCATGATTGATTTCAATTAGTTTGGAAATGGCTACCTTTTGGAAAAGGGAAAAAATTTAAAAGCGTGTGGAAACGTGAATTGGAATATCTATATTTAGCATGTTTATTGTCTAAACATCAGTGCTTAATAGATGAGCTGAAATCGGAGAACAAAAGTAAAGGTTGACACAAAGCATAAGTCATTTTAAATATTTTCAAATAATTCATTTTTGTTGAACAAACAAATTCACATGAATTTTAAGGATGTATGACACAAATAAAATGCGCATGATTATCTCCTTGTGTCAAACCAATGATGTTCACCTCCTTCCTTTGAGACAGGCATAAAATAGAAAATGACATTTCATTGGAAACATTCTGAGACATGGTAACTTCGATTTCAATCAGTGGGACGTTTTGTATGAAACAAAATAAAATTTTGATAATTGCTTGATGGGCCAAAAGAAGTGGTGAATTCATCTGCATTTGTCCTTTGTGCATGGTGTTTAATTTAGCCACCCCCCCCCCCCCCCAAAAAAAAAAAAAAGGAAGAAAGAGAGAAGAACCTTGATATGGCTGCTGAAATCGCCAAATTGTTACTTTTCTGAGCTGTTAATTTCCTTGATAATTTTAGTTCGTTGTTTCTTTTTGGCCAAATAGGTGAATTACAATGAGGAGGATTGCCTTTTCCAAAAACGTATCGAAGAGTATTGTCTTATGAACAAATATAATGGGAATGATCGAATTAGTAGACTGCCTGATGACATTCTATACTCAATTATCTCATTATTGGAAGTAAGAGATGTTGTTAAGGCAAGTGTGTTGTCAAGAAGATGGAGATATATCTGTGCTTCGTTGTCTAACACTAACATAGAGTTTGACTTGTGTAAAATGTTTGGGAGATCTAACAATTGTAACGACGTTGGTGCCCGTCTTGGACTGCCTGGCTCATACAATAAAAACATCACTAAGGAATGGCTAATCCTCAATGCTCGTAGGCATATTGAACCACACCTTTGCCCAATTGTTAAGCACAAATTTGCGCAAACAGTGCATCAGTTTATAAAGCTCTACTTGTCTCCACAGATATGTTCTTTCAAGGTTGCTTTTTGCTTTGAGTGAAAGTTTACTAATGCAGTCAACCGTTGGATCAGTTTTGCAACAAGAATGGGTGTTGAAAGGTTTGATCTCAACTTCGTATGCTCTTCTCACATTAAGTACCGCAACATGTACGATGACCTTTATACCGAGGCTTCCAATCTGAAGCATTTGCGGGTATACTCGTGCATGTTGAAACCAGATATCTGCTGTCGGTTCAACACCCTCCTTACCCTTGATCTAAATTATGTACCATTAACTCAAGGTGATTTGGAGAATCTCCTTGTTGTCTGTTTGAAGCTAGAGACGGTGATGGTGAAACAATGCAACCTTCCTGTTAAATTTTGCATATTTGGGCCCCCCAGCTTGCAAACGGTGGTGGTGAATTGTTGTCGTGGCTTGAAGGAGATTGAGCTTTCTGCTATTAATCTCAGCACCTTTGAACTCACTGATTTTGGCACGATAAAAATCTCGTTTTCCATGTGCCAAAGCTGAACAAAGTGTTTCTTTGGCTAGGAAGCAGCGATTGGATTCAGTACATGTTCAAAAAATTTGCTAAAGATCATCCTCAGCTGATTACTCTTTTAATTAAAACTGAAGGAGTATGTGAATCTACAGCAAAGCCTTCATTTCTTTGCTCTTTATGATTGCCAATTTTTCTCACCATATTTATGGTTTCCATTTGCTTACTAGGTGAAACATATACCCGCAAACCCAATCAAGCTCAGTAATGTCATGCAATTGGAGTTGTTTATATATTTCGACACTGGGAATGGTCTTGTAAAAATTATGGCTCGTCTTCTGTGTGCCCTTCCCCTGCTGCGGAAACTCGCTGTACAGGTTAGTCATCATTGCATTGCAGTCTATCTCTCTCTCTCTCTCACACACACACACAATTTGAGATACTCATCAATACACTCACACTGATACACATACATGCATTCACACTCGCCCACTCATGTTAACTTTTTGGTGCCTTGCTTATCTTACTGAAATCGGTTGTAGCAAAGAAGTGACTTTTTTAGTCCAACATGTAGAGTATACTGCGGATTTTAGTTTTGTGAAGTTTTATAGTTTGTGGATGAAGAAGATTATGGAAGAATTAGGTGAGAGAAGGGAAAGAATTGTTAATCCTATTGCCTAACCCCAACTCATACGTATAAGTATCTCAAAAGTAAAAGACTACTATGCCCTTGAGTGGTACACTTATTACAAGAACATATATAATGTGATAATTAATATATTATGTCAAGCTAGATTAAATATTCAACTCGCCTCAATAAAATCTTATCCTAACTATTTGGTATAGGCTATATAAATCATGTTTCTCTATTGAATTCTATTCTTTTTTGTTAAATAGGAAGTTATCATATTCTTTTTGACTATATCGTTCAAAGTTAATTTCTATTTAGATCTTATGTCCTTCTAAACATCTGCCTTGTCTCAGGCCAATTGAGGCACTTTAGCCACTTGCACCTAGGAGTGTTTTTCTCCACTCTGATCACGATGAAAGTGTCTGGCGATGATAAATGCAACAAACGATAAGGAGATCAGAAATCTGATATTTTTGAATCCACAAATAGATTGAAGCAACCTTTATTAGAAGAAGAACGGAAGAAGGCGACAAACATCAAGGTTGTGGAAGCACGATGACCAAAAATTGATCAATGCTAGGCTCTGATACCAATTGACGCAGGATTGGAAAGAAGCAACACAGAAGAGAAAAGTGGATGAAAGAAAAGGAGGGATTAGGCCGAGAAACACACTAATACAAAATTCTCAACCGTAATTACTTTCCTAATAAAATTCTTACTAAAACACTCCTATCAAAAATTCATAATCAATATCCGAATAAATAAATGATTGAAATAGTCCGATTAAACTACTAATTACATTTCCTTTTGGACAAAAAAATATTATTTCTTCCATCTGGTCTTGCAAAGGTGATCATATTTTCATCCGTAGGTGCTGCACCCACCCCTTTTTTGACAAATGGAGCAGCAGTCTTCTTTATCTACTTGGCTCATCAAACTGTATTGTGACGTACATGCCGGTGTGGTTCTGGAATCTAGAGGATCTCCTATAACCCCAATATCGCACAACATTTTCATCCCCCCATCTTCCTTTCTATTCAGTTGCATTTCTCATAATCTGCTGAACTCCCTTTCCTTTCTTTTCTTTTCTTTTCTTTTCTGTTTTTTCCAGAACATTAGGGCCACTGATGCCAGTATTTTACAGCTCAAGGATTCAAATTTTCAAATATGAATTCTATTAGTAATCCAAGTACTTAACTTCTATACGAAAAGCCTAGTAAAATTTGTTTGCTTCAAGGTCCAGAGAGAAGTAAGAATAAAGAAATAAGATGAGAGAAGGATCTAGACCCGAAACAGTAACTACACAACAGGTCTCCTGAATGGAAGAAGTAATGGTTGGACTTCAAATAGTGACCAATGCTCTAATATACTACCGATGATTACCCCCCATAGATTTTTGTGATGATTACATGAAGGTTTGTACTTTCTACAGAGGGAGAGAGGGTTAAATCTGGATATTTCCCCGATCATCTTCAACCACTTTGAAGGAAGCTTCTGATATGATAATACTGGGATTTTTAAATGAGGTTCTGATATCAATTTCTCTTATTGCACTATAATGATTTCAAAGAAATTTTGCCTATTGAATATTATGTACCCTGGGATGGTTGGCAGCTACAAAATAATCTAATCTAAAACTGTTTAAAATGGTTAGACTGAGATTAATTTGGGGACAAGCAAGGGTTATTCATTTGGGGACCAATGCAAACGTGGTTGTCCGATACAATCAACCAACCCAACGCTTGTGATGAAGAGTAATGTTTAGTTAGTGGATATTTTTATTTATTTATTGCTCAGCAAAGTAGAGTATAATAGTTATTTTAAGTTTCTACTTGTACAATACAATATCTCTGTATCATTTACCTTCCGGCTTTATTGAGCTGAAATTAATTATGCTTAGCAAATGCTCTTTTCCATAAAATATATCAATCGGTTTTATGGTTTAATTATATTTTTTAAAAGTGAAGATATAATTGATCGAAATTATTTACGATCAATCATGAATAATTCTAGTTACCATCACCATTAAAATGTATAATTTAACTTTTATGAGGTGTAACTTTTCTTTTAAAAGTTGTAAATCTGATGATTGATCATAAAATATTTATAGTTGATTATACTCTTTGTAGTTGTAATTTACATTCAGGACATGTATCTACACCATAACAATATAAGTGTCGGCAATTAATTGGTAAGGATAGGAATAGATTGGATTGTTTGTATCCTAACCCATCTCACCCAAATCCACTCTCGCATTTAATTGGATGGGTAGAGAGGGAGAGATTGGCAGAGAGGGAATGACTTAGCGATCAAATGTCCCCCCCCCCCCCCCTAATTATCTTTATCTTTTTGGTTATGTATAAATTTTTGCCTTGTTTATATGTTATTTATTTTTCTACAAAAAAAAAAAAAAATTAGGTTTAGGGTTTATGTTTAATATATTCAATCCAATCTTGAAGATATGAATTTTATTCAATTACTTTTCCAATTAACATTGTTTGGAACATATTTTTTTCTTTCTTATTATGTTTGTTTAGAAAGCAATGTGCTATAGACAAATCTTTAAGTAATTGTGCATAATTTTGATACTTGGTTAGGTTAATGCTTGAAGTAATTATGTTTGGCAATTGCACCCAATTAATAACCCTCGTGCATTTCTCCCAATAAGCTTTTCCAAAATTGAAATTTATATCAACTCATTCATTCCCCCAAATTAATTTGCCTCAATTTCATCTCTTTCATGCATTTTGAGATTTGGGATTGGCCTTATTTTTTGGGGGAAAATAAACATTAAGTAAATTATTAATTCGGTTAAATATTGCGCAAATTCAGGGTTGTCAAAGATTATTATAGAAGTGGTGAAGAGTAAAAATCTTTTCACGGTGTGGTAATTTTTACATAATTATAATGTAGTTTTTGATGATTTATTGGAGTAGACAACGATTTAGAAGTAGTTTATATAGTTTTATTGTATGGTGGAAGTTGCTTGGGATAGGAAAATTTATGGACTGTTTCTAAATTTTTGAGCAAATGGTTGTACCACACAATTTTATGTTTGACGTGTCACAAGTATTCATATGGTGCAGTTGTTATGGTTAGTTATTCATGTAGTAAGAATATTTTTCAAATGCATAAAAAGAGCATATTGTTTATTTTTTAATAACATTCATTTTATTTGGTCCTTTGGACAGGCGGCGTAGATTGATTTGTAAGTCTTAATTTAGAATAATAGGACACACAAATTGGTGGGATTGGTACAATTGAACTTAAAAGAATGACATGAGAGGTTCACAGTTTGTTTGTATATAATAAGGGAGCTAGTCATTTGAATTGTATCTATATATATTTTTTCCATTTATTTCTATCACATCACTCATTTTTATTACAAGTTGAATATTAATTTTTAATTAATTTTTGGCTCAAAATATAATTTTAATTTTAAATATTATTTATATACGGTAGTGTATATATATATGTGTGTGTGTGTGTGTATTTTTGATAGAAACGATTTTTTATTGATAAGAAATGGAGTACATCATTCTGAATAAGATGTGTTACAAATGAGGGGCATTGTTCCCTCCGTAAGCAAGGATTCATGCAACTATTATCATTTTTTGCCAGGTAATTTGCCACCGCATTTCCTTCTCTACGAGTCCATGACGTTGAGTACTCTTCGAATCTATTAACTAAGCTGTTAATTTGATCAGTGAACGAACGAACTTTGCAAAATTTCATGAACTCTTCGACAATACCCCAGCATAAAAGATCCATTCCAATCTCTGATGACAACACCCACAGCAGAACACTCCTCTGACTTGAAAACAGCCCCATCAAAGTTGATCTTTAGAGCACTGTAAACCCCCACATGTTAATATAAATATAATGAAATACGGGTTTAGTAATTCTAATATATGAAATCTTTTGTGATCGAACTTGTACCAACTATGTTTGATGTCCAAATGTATGTTGTATAAATTTGAGTTGGTCTTGGAGGGGTTAGGAATAGATTGGAAATGAAAAACAGAGAAAAAAGGCAAAACTGAACAAATCATACTGGTACAATGTACCGGTACGTTGCTGTTCAGAGAGCTTACCGTACCAGTATGCTCTGTAAGTTTTAGAAAATTTTAAGTCGCGATTTGGGGTCCAATTCTCTCCCTATAAATACATAAGGACGTCCCATTTAATCCTATTTCAACATTTCTAACCTTAGGAAACCTTAGAGAGGAAGAAAGAGAGGAAAAAACACAAGATCAAAAGGGATTTGTACATTGGATTGGATCAAAGCCCTAGTTTTTTCAAAAACACCAATGTAGGGTTCTTCCTATTCTCTTACATTGAGGTTAGGGTTTATTTATATATATTTTTTTGACTCTAAATCTTATTTATTTGTTAGTAAAT